TAACAAACAACCATGAGCACACCTCCTGTCCAGAGCAGTCATCCTAACAGGCTGAAGCTCCCTGTCCTGGCTGTAGCTCAAGCTGGGCAGGGAAACTATTCTATAGCCTATAAAAAAGGAGAAAAAAAAAAAAAAAAGAGACTGTTTCACAGCATGGTCTTGGCATGTCACCAAGAACAAGACAGGACAGAGTTGCCCACACAGCCACTGAAAGCTTTTCTCCCTGGGAATCCCTTTCTTTTCCAAGTACAGGATTGACAAAGCAGAACAGACAACTCCAAAAATGCATTCTCTTTTGCAGAGACAGTCATGGGTCAAGGATTCAAAGCAGAGCCAACAAAAATGCAAACAAAAATGCCCCATTTCCTCCAGCTCAGTCCCTACTGCACTTTGTCCTCTCCTGACCCTTGGCAAGGTGCAATACATGCACAAGATCAAGGGAAAATCAAGAGCTTTGCTCAGGACAGAGCTGTGGCTCCAGTCCTTGGTAGCTAACCCCTGTACTTGGGCTAAGATGAGGGCTGGAGGGACCTACAGCTCCAGCTCATTGGGAACTACAGCAGATCACTGTCCTTTCCCTGAGGGCTGGCACGGTCACCTTGGGCAGGAGAAGGTTTGAGAGCCAAGCTCCAACCATGATTAAATGCCACTGCAATTCTGTAGCAGGATGATCTGCCTCAGTGGGGGGAAAGACTTGACATTCGCCCTAGTCTGTGTGCTTGCTAATGGAGTGAACTACCACATATACTGGATGGTCATATTGTTCCTTGGTGATAGAAAACAGTCTGGGCCAGCCAGACCCAGAGAGAGAGCAAAATAGAAAACTGATAAAGAAAGGGACAGTGTTCTTACAAGATAGGAATATTTTGCTGAGCTAGAAGGATCACAGAGATCCGGGTTTGGCTTAGCAACTAATGACTGACAGCCAATCACTGTAGTCTATAAAAGCCCAGTCCCAGTCCTGATCAGGCAGAATTCTTGCACACTTTCTCCATGGGGTGTGTTTGACTATCCCCCCTTCAAACAGGGACTCCCCTGAAACAGTTACTCCTCAGAGGTTTAGTGAAAGGGTTGTTGGGCAGAGTAATTAACATCAATCTCTATTCAATAATAAGCTAGCTTTAAAATACTGCTTTAGTTATTGTTCTATGTCTAGTAAGTGCCAATTAATAAGTAGTTGCTATGGCACTTATGTTGTGTAGTAGCTATTCTGATTTATGTCCTTTAGTCCCATCACATTATTATTATTTATAATATAATTTTGCTTTGTTTGTACATACAGTCTAGTCTGCCACCCTTAAACCCATACAGGACAAATTCTTCTTCCCTCAAAAAATGATCTTGAGGGTTGAAGTCATAAAAACTGAAGATATCCTGACAATATGGAGAAATATATATTACTTCATAAGCAAGAAGAATTGCTATGAGTATCCTCCAGAGCCCGGTTGCACCTTCCAGGGCCAGGATGGAAAGAGCTCCCCAGCAGGCTGCAGCCCCAAGGCCATGCCAGGGACACCTTAGTGTCTCCCTGCCTGACCAAGTGTGAGGGGTAGCAGTCCAGCCAGAGCAGGAGTCACCTTCTTTCAGATGAGGATCTAAAGGAAGAGGCTCAAGAACGTGTTTCTCTTTGGGAAAAGGAAACTTGCCAGAAGGGCAGAGGAAAGGGCTTGTTTAGTGCTCGCATGGATGGACACAACCTCTCTGGTTGGGAGGGTGGATCAGTGATGAGGGGAGCGTGGTAAGCAAATAACTCTCAAAAACTTGTTTGGCTTGTTTACCATTTGTTTTCTTTCTCTTTCTTCAAATTTTGTCCAGTACCATTTTCCAGCTGTCACTGCCTTCTCTTTCTTTTCTTTTCTTTTTTTTTTTCATTTGTTGAAGGAAAAAGGGAAGGCTGAGTAGGGAGGGAATGGGGAAAATGGGAAGGAAAAAAACAGAAAATGAAGGAAAGAGAGGGGGAAACATGAGACTTTTTGGCCTGATTACTTTTTTAACAAATTGGTTTCCTGGCTTTTCTTTCTAGAGAGAAGGGTGAAAATGGCCTTTTTAATGAAAAAAAGTGCCAGCTTCCAGAAGCTGATGGAGACCTGTCGAATCTGTCATGTGCACACAGCAATGCCTGAAGCATTTGTGTAAGTTTATCAAAGCATTACTTGTTCTCTAACTACACCTGCATGCTGGTGTCTCACAGCAGAAGACAGCCAGCAGTGGCATTTTCCACTGTTCCCCCAGCTGGATGTACCTGGGTCCCTGAGCTTAAACTTCCTGTCAATTCCACCCAAAGCACCTGGATTAAATTCCTGATCCTAGGACTTCTGTGATGGGGATCCTAGGACTCTTTCAATGGGGACAGCAATCTCTCCTCTGACTTTATTCAAATATGCTGCTTCCTAGCAGAGATGAGTCACTACTATCAGATTATAAATAAGCAACAGAGGAACCAGTTTATGCAGTATTTATTTTCAATGACACAGCCCTACATTTTTGCTTAACACTGAAAAGTGATTTCTTTCTGTCTAGGAATTTTGCAGTGTTACCCAGATACCTCAGAAAAAGGAGTGAACACATCTCCGTGACTTCTCTGGCAGTACAACACCACTTTACATCCTAAAGGTGTGGCAGCAGGAGCAAAGGTGTTACATGTCCTACCAATGATAGTTCAAAAAACCCTTGCTAATGCCTAAGACTGAGTCTGGGTGACAAGTCCCAGGCCTTTGAATTTCCCTTGTGTTGCTTGATCAGGAGAAAGGAGGTTTCCTCCTCAAAACCAATACCACCATTTGGACCACGAGTACTGCCAAGGCAGCTGCCACCCATGCCTGAAATCAAACCTCTCTTGCACAGCCCTGCCACATCTCCAAACAGGAGCAGGCAGCCACAAAAACACCCAGCACCCATCCAGGGTCAGTGATGCCTCCAGCTGATCATCAGGCTGTGCCACCCTGCAACTGTGGCTCCTTAGTGGCAGCCACTGGCTTTGCTCTGGCTGGGGGTAGAGAGAAACCCGCCTCAGGGGGCTGTTCCCCCACCAAATTGTGAGCAACATCCCTGGGAGGGAGAGGAAAAAATACTTACTGTGAGGCCTGACTGCAAGCCTCAAGATGCTAAGCTCTTCATATGACTATTGCTGCAGTGTGACACTCAGCTCTTTAAAAAATAAAATGAAATAATGTGGTGCTTCAGTCCTTTGCAGGGAACAAGAAAGAGGTTTGTCAATATCTCTACCTTTTACAGTAGTAAATTGTCTTCAATTAAACGATAATGTCCCAGAGAAGTACAATTTTTGATTCCTGACTTTCAGTGTTCATTTTACCAACAGGTTTTAGTTCCTAGTTTTTCAAATAAAGGAAATTAAATGGGGAAAAGATTGCCCTATGCTAATTCTCCAGTTAAACTCACAGGAAACTGCAAAAGATAAGGTTCCCGTAGTGATTGGAATAGATACTGAATCGCACAGATGAGGCCTGATTTTCCCACTTACTTTCAGTGCTGGTGGTTAATCTCCACCTAGCATGGGGAAAAGCAGTTACTTGTAATGATGAACAAAGGAAAAGAGCCTGTGGCATCTCTGATTATTTTTAATAGCCATTCTCCAGCATGGCTTGATGCACCACTGTTGCAACAGAGCCGTGCGTCGGCACATAAGCCCTCAACCAGGGCAAAGCTCCTGCAGGGAACCTGCCACTGTCTTCCCCTGTGGTTTGAATGGTGGAGTTCTGATAGGCATTCAAGCAAGTTTTGGCAGGTAGTTTTACAGCCCCAACCTCCCCAGGACAGAGCTGTGTGGCACTGCACCAAACATCACATCCAAGTGCAATCCCAGCCATTGCCTCACATTTATGACTACCCTGGCAATGAGAGACCTTTAATTTGACACAAACTGCTTCCACTGAACCCATCTAATCTATCAATTATCACTTTATCTTGCCTGAGCTTATGATTATGTCACCCAATTATGTCTTCCTTATTCCCTGAGCAGTCATCTGCAGCAAAGCTGAGGGAGTGCAATCCTTCTCCCACCCTTGCCCCAAAGCTACTCTGCAGCACAGAATCAGGCCTATCAACTCCTTCATTAATTCCTCTACAAAATGCCCCAGCAGTGCACTTAAATTTGTGGGCGTGCAGTCCCCAGGGACTCCTTTCTCCCTGCTGTACTGCAGTTCTTTTTTTTTTCACCAACTGCTCTGGGACTTTTCCTGTACTCCATGAATTTCCTGAAAGGATTGTCACATATTCAGCTGTTTTGCTCTCAGATGCATTTTCGCAAGGCCGTGTAGTTTTGACCAAGAGCGAGTCCCCTAGATAGTTATTCTTCACCCCCTTTTCATCCTGACATTGTCTTGAGATCCACCATCAACTATGATTGCATTGAGCACCTTGTCACACTCTTCTCTTTCAGTGACAACTATGAACACTGCAGCCTCCTTTTATCATCACCTGTGATATGTTCCTGGCTCCCTCTCCCTAGTAGAGGGGTGACCTAGCAGTGCACTTTCCTTTATCAGCCTTCAGCTTCTTAGGTACTTCTGAACCAACTTATTTATTCCCTGCACTAACTCCCCATCATTTTGTGTGTTTGCATCCCTAGCTTTGCTCCTGCATACCTTTATTCTCTGCTCTCTCTCACCACTGTGGTTTCCTTTCCTCCTCTCAATACAACTACCTTTTTTTTTTTAATCTTTTTTTTCTTTCTTTTTTTTTCTTTTTTTGTTAACACATCATTTTTCTCTTCCCCACCAGAGTCAGTACTGGAGGAGACTTCTGACAAAAAGCGTGTTGCTCTCTCCTCAGCTGCTGACAGGGAGAGTTGTCCCCAAGGAGCCAAAAGCATTGCTGTCCCTGATGCTGCAACCAGCTGGCTGGAAGGAGAAGGTGTCCCAGGTGCTTCTGTCTCGGATGTGCAGGAGAGAAGTGAACAGCCCAGGAGAGGAAAGAAACCATTTTGGCAAGTAGAGAGCAAATCAGTCCAGAGTATGGAGGAGACATCCCCTGTGCCTCCCTCAGAAGTGAGTTTCTCTCTCTGTGATGCTGAGCACCTCCTGGACCGGAGGGGACCATCCCTTGCGCTCCAGCTGGGACAGACCCACACGGTGCTTCCTGGGCTGCGGCAGATCCTCCGCCGGGGACACCAGCTGCGCCAGCCGCTGCGGAGAGGAGTCCTCCGTTAATTAAGCAGATAAACAAACTGACACCCAATAGTGATCCACAGCCATTGCTGGGGGCAAAGGCATCTAGAGTGCTAGTGCTCCCAGCTCCCCAAATGGCTGTGAAAGGCAGAGGACGCAGAGCAGGCTTTAGCTGCTCGCGATGACCATTGTCCCACCTCTGTGCTCAAACCCAGGCCGTGGACTGACAATTTGACATACAGGTCCCCTCACAGACACGTTTCTGGCAGAAAGATTGTTAGTGATTAGGCCCACAGACATTTTCTGTGGCCTTGGAAAAAAACACCTTAAAGCCCTTTTTATTCCCCCCTGTGCCAATTACCAGTGCTTCCCACTGGCTTTGGTGAGAGCAGGGGGGCCCCACCACGGTCTGACCACCAGACAGTGCTGAGCATCTCTTGCTATGGGCTGAAACAGTGTGGCAGGTAATACCTACCCCAGTGGCACTTCCCTGGTAAAGTGCCTCTGCAGACTTCCTGCCCCCAGGCTATCTCAGCTCCCAATTTCTAGCCAGCCAGACTGCAGCAGGGCAGGCAGGGGCTGTGTGGCAGCTGCCTACCCACAGCTCCCCCTGTCCTCTGCGGGGCAGGGGTGCTGCAGGCTGCTACACACACATGTGTACACCAGTGTTGTGTCAGCGTTGGGGAGTTTATTCTTCAAAAATGCACTTTTTGGGCAAAAGGTCCTGCAGAGACAGCTGCTGTGAGTTTCTGGTCTTTCTTGTTGCACTTTTGAAGCCCCTCTGGCATCACACAGCTTCCAGA